GTATTTACTGTTGAGTCTCACACACCCCTGAGAAACATGTTATAACTACACAGATGGCTTAACCTTGAACTCGCTACAGGCTGGTCTTGGACTCACAGCAATCCTCCTGCCTCAGCCTCCCAAGTGCTGGGATTACAGGGGTGCACCACCACACCCTGCTGTTTTTTCTGTCTTCTTATGGCTGAGTCTTCAGTTTCTAATTTGAGATCTTTTTTCCTAATGCAGACACTTAACCGGTAAACTCACCTGTAAGCAGCGCTTCACCTATATCCTATAAATTTTAATATGTTGTGTTATTTTCACATAAAATATTCTCTAATTCCCCTTGTCATTTATTTTTTGACCACTACAAGTTACATTGTGTACATTAACTTATCATCATCCACTCCATATTTATGCTAATTTCATACTAGTAAGAGAAACTTTGCTATAACGTAGCTCCTTTCCTGTCCCCTCCTTTGAGCTGCTATCCGATCACAAGTGCGCAGTCCTAGGCCAATAGTATCTCACGCACCCTTACATCTTGTGTTCCAAGCCGGGACGGCACCCTCTGGCAGTGAGGGCCCCTTGCTGTGCCTGCCTTTTCCCTCCTGAAAGGGATGCACACAGCGCGACCCCCACTGCTCACACAGGAAGCCCCGTGTTTTGTGAATAAGCACGTCTGAGTGCACTGCACACCTTTGGCTTATTTGCAGACCTGCGATTGAGGTTTGGTCGCATCTTCTCTTTGCTTTCTAAAGAGAGGAATTGAGGAGCCACTCATGCTATTACGCTGGGAATCAGTACCAGCTCCTCAGCTGGTTCTGGTGAGAAACCAGGGCCGAGAGTCACCGAGGGGAGGATGATTACAGGAGGACGAGCCTCGATTCTGTCTCATTCGATAGTGATTTGTGTTAGTGTCAGGCACCGAGCAGGTGCTGAGCACCCAGGGTCCACCGGAAGCACGCTTCTCCCGGAGCAGTGCGGGTGTGGGAGAGACAGACGGAGAAGCCCACGGCGCGATGATGCCGGGTAGGGAGCGCGTTGGCAAGGGCAGTGAAGCGTGTTGCTGGCTGTCAGGATGTCTTCAGAACGGTGCATCATCGTTAAGCACATCCACACAGAGTAGAAGGAAGTATGAATTCATTACTTCATCGAGGGGAACTGGGACAATTTCCCAAATTTATGTCACGACAAATATTACTTTATGGAACTAGATGTTCATTTCTGTGACACTCGATGCGTTCTAAAACCCAGATTGTGATCATTCCATAGCCTCAGCTTGTAATTCAGCAATGGCAATCAGTATGAGAGTCTTCATGAGCAAAGGGACGTGGGATTAGGGTCTCCCAGAGGGAGCCGTGGGCACGTGAGAAGAATTAGTAATTGGCATGTTATTTTTCCTTAACTGAAGCTGATCTTTTTTCCCCCAAACAATTGAATGTTTCATCAAGTGAGACCCTACAGTGGTATACGCACAGAATTTATAAATAAAAATGTGTAGGTGGTGTCCCTTCAGCACGTTGTTTTGTTTTGTCTTGTTTTTGGTACCAGGGATTGAAACTCACGACCTTGCGCTTGCGATGCAGGTGTGGTGCCACTGAGCTAAATCCCCGCCCCGTTGTTTCGTTCTTTGGGACAGGGTTTCACTATGCAGTTCAGGCGATCCTCGAACTCACAGTGTAACCAGGCTGGCTCGAGGTGGACCCCCTGCCCCAGCTGAGATTACAGGCGTGCTCCCACACACCTGGCTGCCTTCGTTTTCTGGCCCCAATATGTTTTGTGTGGAAGTACTCAGTCGCAAAAATCAGAGACCTCTGGTAGAGAGGAAACAACACTAAACCAAAACCAAGAGGAGGTGGTAGGTAGTTCAGCTACCACCCTGCTGTGTGAAGACAAGTTGCAAAGACTCTCCAGGCTTTGTTTTCTACATCTGTAAAATGAAGTGCTGACTTAATAAATATCCTTGAGATCCTTGCTACCTCTGGGATTCTATTCGTTGTTTTGTTGTTTTTCCTGTCAAGCATCACTATGAAGTTATTCAAGCAGAAAATTATACTTTTTTCCTTTGAGAACTGGAGTTAGATGCGGGTGTGGGCTTGCTTCTGAATCCCTGGAGGACCTCCAGAGATCATTTTCTGGGTCTTGGCTACATCCCTTCTCTGTGATACTGCGGATGGGAGGTGTGATAACATCATGTGCACCAGGGTATTTATTTAAAATCTGCTACCTGTAGACATAGTAACAGAGAACGTGGCACAGAGCAGCAGTACCGAAGAGGCACCTGGACCCAGAGACCGCCAGGGAGGTGCAGCAGGGCACACACAGTTCAGTCCTCACCTATTGCTTAACTTCACTGTGTGCTTCAGTTGAAACTCAGGAAATCTCAGATCTAAGCTGAGTACATCAAGAATAGTAGCTTTGGGCCGGGGATTCAGCTGAGTGGCACCATTCCTGCCTCGTATGCACAAGGTCCCAAGTTTGATCCCCAGTACCAAAAAATAAATAAATAAATGAAAAAGAACAGGCTCCAATAAGTAAAAGACATATGCAGACCCATTCTTAGCATATTTAATATCTACTCAGAAACTGAGCTAAGGATTATTTCCTAATTTAGAAGAAACTGAAAGTCCAAATGGTTAGTAAGCCGTTCTTTAGCTTTTGGGGGTGTTCAAAGAAATTTAAAATCTACATATTTTATTCAATTCCTCTAAAAATATGATTCAACTTTAAAATTTGATAGTATAAAGTGTCTGGCTTTAGTGTCAGTGGATCACAAGGTAAACCATGTATGGGTTTTCGTCAAGGAATTACAGTGATTATTACACAGTTATTTAAAATGTTGTATTTCTCTAATCTAATTTTATTTGCTAGCTTCAATAAGAACAGTGTTACTACATTGTCCTTCATGGCATTTTAACATCTAATCCTTCACACATTTTTAAAATTAGAAATAATAAAGCTTGAAGAAACTTCAGAATATAACAAAGGTGAAGATCTTGTGTTTTCTAGGTTGTTTAATACATAACATCATAATACATGTTGTGAAGTCTTTTCTCCAGATAAAGTATGAAACAGAAGCTAATGATAGTTCCATAAATACTTTTTTTTCTTAGTTCCATGAATCTGTGACATGGAATTCAACCATTAAAAATCAGGGGGCAGGGACTTAGCTCAGTGGGGCTGCACCTGCCTCACAAGCAGAAGGTCCTGAGTTCAATCCCAGGTGCAAAATTTACATAGGAAAATGGAAAATTCCATATCATGAATGCAACATATTAAAGATTTGTTTAGAGAACAAATGTTAGAAAATGAAGCAATACAGCAAAAAGAATAAAAAATAGCTATTTTGATGAAAACAAGCATTGGAAAACGAGCTTAGGAGAGAGTAACTGGAGACACTGGAATGGGAGCAAGGAGGATGGAGCAAAAATGGAAAAATAAAAATTAGAAAATGCACCTGTTCTAGAAGAGGAAAAGCAGTGAAACACTGAAGTCTGTCAGGAATTGTGTTTGTCCAGAAATGGCATATGGGGGTGAGGGAAAAGCCCACTTTAAACTTAGCCCGTGTGAGCACAGCCTGTACCCTGTGATGTGCGGGGCCAAAGAATACAGTCGCTCCCCTGCTGCCTGGAGCGCAGCCAGGGACAAATTCCACTCAGGCTTCCAACTGGTAACCAGTCCACAAGCTTTGCTTCAGGTCTAACCTTTAGTTTTACTGCTGATGATAGAAAAGGAACCAGCCATTCCCGAGGTTGGGGTAGAGCAGTGCAGGAGGAGTTTCTGCTTCCGCGTGATCATTCTGAAGGGTCCTGGGTGGGAGGCCGCCACACTCCGGGGTCAGGGCCCTTCCGGTCATGTACAGAACTGCTGGTCTCCTTGCGTTGGTGTCTGCTTTGCACTCCGTGCACGAGTGTCCTGTCTTCGTTTGACTTAGCTCATCCCTTTGGCTTTTCCATATCACTTTCGGATGAGAACACGGTTAAGGCTTGAATGGCTTGTGTGAACTGGGCAGCTTGGTTTTTCCCCTGCCGCACCCTGTCCCACACACCCTTACCTTCTCCTCCAGGATTCTCCAGACCAGAGGTTTTCCTTCACATTAGTGTTTCCTTTCGAATACTTTCAAATTTACTGAAAAGTCACCAAGACAGGACAGAATTTCTACACGGTCTCCTGTTGTTCTCACCTGTCATTGCCGTGTGCGCCTTGGGCCTTGACCCTGAATCACAGGTTGACAGGCATGTGTGTGTGTGTGTGTGTGTGTGTGTGTGTGTGAGACGTTGGTTTGTATTGAAATGCACCTCATTCAAGAACCGCGCAGGTCAAGACGTCCCTCTGCTTTCATCAGTCCTTCTGTTGTGTGATCTTGCTCTCATGTTTTCTTCCCTAATAAAGTTTCCGCTTTAGTCCACCGACTCTCTGGCAGTGGTGTACACAGGCAGACAGAGACACTGACCGGGGGCTCTGGAGCAAACCCCTCTGCTCTCTGACCCTGGGTTCAGTTACACTCTAGCTCTACTGTTGGGTGAGCCCGGGGTCCTTCACACGCAGGAATATGCCTGCGGTGAGAACAGACCTTTCGAGATCGCACAGTGTGAAACTCCGGTTCCTACATCAAATTGCCTGGGGTCCCTTTTCAGAAATGTGCGCTTTTTTCATAACTCTCTGAAAAGATCTCGATGCAGATGTATTAAAACCATGTATAACAGGCCACCTAAATTTCAAACACTAACTTAATAATAAAGGCTACTTGAAAATATAAAAACATTGCCTTTTTTCCCTTGAAACATTCAGCGGGGAAAGGCCATGAGATTGATTGCTCTTGTTTTTTATTTTGTTTTGTGTCTAAGAATGCATTTATGTATTTGAGGTCTTTCTAACTCAGTCTCACTTGCAAAGGTAATAATATTAGAGATCGAAGACTCTGGAAAACTCTCCCCGGTATAAACTTTATTTGGTCAGTTTTGTGACTATCTTACGTGCCTGTTTGTCCTTGTCTGATGTTCCGGGTTTTATTTCAGACTTACAGGCTCCAGTCTGCTGTTAGAAGATTATTCATCCAACTTGAGCCCCAAAACAAAGAGAGCGAAGCGCAGTCTTCTGTCGGGAGAAGAGAAGGAAAATCTGCCCAGCGACTACATGGTGCCGATTTACTCCGGGCGGTGGGTGCACTCTCCCCTTCTGTTTGACTATTAGAGGCAGAGTAGTACGTGGGGTCAGACGTTAGTAATCTGAGCTCTCACCGCATAGGGGTATAGGGTCGGGGAAGCTCTTACGAAGCTTGCAGCCCTGCCTGAGGAAGCTGTGTTCACTCTGAACAGGGACTTCCTGTTCAGAAATCTTTGCTGTCACAGAGGACGCCTGTAAGGACAAAAGAGAACAATTAGAATGCCACTGAGGAGACTAGCTGGAATGGATGGGGAGCCTTGATTGAAAACTATATATAAGGAGAGTTCGAAGATATAAAATGTCTGTGATCCCAGCCCTCTGGGAGGCTGAGGCAGGGGGATCACAAGTTCAAGCCAAGCCTGGGTAACTTAGCAACTCAGTGAGACCCTGTCTCAAAATAAAATCTTTAAAAAGGAGAACGCAGTGAGGATGTAGCTCAGTGCGAAGACCCTGAGATCAATTCTCAGTACTAAAAGGGGGGGTGTGTGTAAAATGTTGAATGAACTGAAAAGAATTCTAGATGCTATGTTTAGGTAGATGAAAAACATCTTGACTCATTATCCAGTGGGAGTAAATAAAATCATAATTACTGGCTTTCATCCATTCAAAAGAAACTTGATTGTTAATCTATGTCTAGATAGACTTCAAACTACACACAAGACTGTGTCACACGAGTTCTCTGTCATCATTCACATACTTCCCAGTCGTAACAGCATTGGGAGGAAGCTTGAGAGAGGACCTGTCCCAGACACCAGGAGGAGGGCCAAGCGGGGTGTCCCGGTACTGTCCCGGGACAGGAGGGCTACTCCCGACCCAGGGTGGGGTTCAAAACACCATCCTTAGGAGCCAGTGGCAAGGAAAATAGATTCTCACAGAGTCCAGGAAGGATGTGATGTTGGTGACCAAACAACACTCAGGCTTTAGCTTTTTATCTGCCGTCCCCCACTCCGTAACGTGAACTTTTGGAGAAGCAGGCCTAAGGTGCCGGGATATGGGCCCACAAGCAGCCCCTCGGGGCGCTGAGGTAGCCATCTAATTCGGAGGCAGACTTGAGCCTAGAGGAGGAGAGTGTTTTGTCTTTGCTTTCCTCTCACTTCCTATGAAGAAAAAAAGAATTAAGGGGTTAGGAGTGTAGCTCGGCGGTTGAGTGTGTGTTTATCAGGTACAAGGCTCTGGGTTCAAGCTCCAGTGCTAAGTAAATGAACAACTAGCACACCAGTTTAGCCTACCTGACAGTTTCAAGACTCTTCAACATAATCAATACACTTTCTCACTAAAACATGCAACGGAATTTATAACAAAGACATTAAAGGAAGCTAAAAACAATCATAACATTTTAACAACATTAATAAGTCACCGCACAAATTGTCAAAAACTACCATACCAGGCACAGCACTTTTAGATATCACTGTAAGCATAAATGAAGATTGGCATTTTGAAAACTCACACTCACAACCTTTACTGTCCTAGAAAGAAACCCAGTAGGCATAAGGCTCTTTTTGTTTTCTTTGAGACTGGGTCTCACTCACTATGTAGTGCAGGATGGCCTTGAACTCAAGGTGATCCTCCTGCCCCAGCCTCTCCCTGCTGGGAATATAGGTGTGCACCACCACACCCAGCCATAGGCTCTTCTGTGAATTTAGAATACATTTATCACACGCTAGCTCTGGGCAGTACATTGCATCAGCCAAATTACAGAAGGCAGGTCGGACACGCAGTCCTCTCTCAGGGTCACAGGCACATGAGCTGTGTCACATTTTGCAGTATTGTGTTTTCTAGAAAGGAAGTCGTAGCTTTGTGTTTTGTTGTAAACTAAACCATACTTAAATAACTAGGGTAACCAGGATATCAGCCTTAGATGAGTTATCTAACTTCTCTGAGCCTTGTTGCTACCCGTCTAGTTAGAAATGATGTTGTTTAGCTTGTGTGGATAGAATGTGATAATGAACCATGACAGGCAATGTCGCTGTGGTCATTGTTACCATTTCTTGTTGAGAGGAAGACCATTTCCATTAATGCGGAGGCAACTTCTGATTTACCAGTTTGGTTTTTTAGTTTTTAGCGTTTTGAGACAGGGTCTTGCTATGTAGTCCAGGCTGACCTTGAACTCATTATGTAGCCCAGATGGACCTTGAACTTGCAGGGATCCTCCTGCCCCAGCCCAGTGTTGCTGGGATCACACACGTACCTACCAGTTATTTTTAATGTCAGGTTTTCTCTGGGCACAGGATGGTGTCTGAGGTCTGGTAACTTAATAAAGTCAGGCAATCCACAAGATCCATGTTTTACTATTAATGTGTTTCAGGCAAGTGCACGTCAGTGGAATTACAGATACAGAGGAAGAAAGAATTAAAGAAGCGGCTGCTTATATAGCCCAGAGAAATCTCCTTGCTAGTGAGGAAGGGATTAGGACGTCCAAACAGCTCACAGCATCCAAACGGTCTGCGGTGTCCAAACAGGCCACGTCCACCCTCAAGCAGGAAGAAACATTTAAAAAGAAGTCAAGGGAGGCCACCATTCGAGAAAAGGCAGACCTCCTGTCCCTGAGAAAAACAGTAAGAACAGACAATTGAATGCTACTCATAATACTGGAAATGCATGTAGCAAGTTAACCGCGCGCGTGTTTGTGTGTGTGTGTGTGTGTGTGTGTGTGCGCGCGTGTACAGATTGACTGGCTTCAGAGGAAGAGAAAAGTAGCCTATGGAATGACAAAACTGAAGAAAAGGAAAGACGCATCAAAACATGCAGGCTAAAGAAATTTTTAAACTTAAGTGTTTTTTTTGTTTTGTTTTGTTTTTTTAGTACCGGGGTTCGAACTCAGGTCCTTGTGCTTGCGAGGCAGGCGTGGAACCATTGAGCTAAATCCCCAGCCCCTAAATTTAAGTTTTAAACCTCATGGAATTCCAGATTTTAAAGAAATTAAGGTTCCCATGAGGAACCTTGAGAAATCCACTTTAGAAACTTTGCTCAAGCTCAGAATCTTAAATGTTAAATAATTACATCTGTTTTTAAAGGGGGGAATGCATTTTATGTAAATGCAAAAATAACCAGATGGAAAAACTGAAAATTTTGCTTCTTCATATTATTTTAGCACCGGAAGTTACTTTGACTTGGTGATTTTTTTGGTAATGCGTTTGTTTCAGGTAGAGGAAACCCAGGCATACCATGGAAAGTTGAATGAGGACCATCTTCTCCACGCCCCAGAGTTCATCATTAAACCTCGTTCGCACACGGTGTGGGAGAAGGACAATGTCATACTGCACTGCTCGGTGGCAGGCTGGCCAGAGCCCCGTGTCACATGGTACGTGATCCTCATGGAAACCCACAGACTCTGGTACAGGAAGTTGTCGGCCGCCAAAACACAGTGAACCTTAGGATGCAGGGTCAGGGATGGCAGCTGCAGGTCTGTAAAGGTTTTCTAGAGGGAAGAAAGGATACGGGGTGAATGTTTACATACAGGGAGAAAACCTGTCTTGCGTCCAAATGACATACCATAGTACTTTAATTCTCTCATGAGTTTTTATATAAAGTGTTATAGTTTAGTCGACATATTTGCATGCAAGGTGTGTCTGTGACCCCTAAGGACTACTTAATAAGTTTTGCTTGTGTCGGTGAACTTTATAATACAGTACGGTTTGGTGAGCAGAAGCGAAGCTGCCTCTTAAGAAATTACTAAAGCCCAGTACTTCCCTCAGGTGCACTAACCTCAGTGTTTTTTCCTACGGCAAACACGGGAGGGAAGTGGAGGGCAGACAGCACGGGGCACGGGGCCCTCGGCAGTGTCTGTGCGCTGTTCTCGTCTGCTGTGCGTCTCGGTGCCGCTGGGTGACCACTCAGAACCTCCCTGGCCAGAGTCCCGAGCCACTGAAAAGACGTTTCCGTTTTATTCACTGATGAGGGCATCTTAACGCGGTTTCCTGATCTCTGGGTCACCTTGCGAATGCTATGCGAATGGCACTGCTGCCCTCGGGCACCTCTCTCCGTCTCCCTCTTCATTATTTCTAATGTCCTCGACCTGACTAGCACCTTTCCAGGGAGGCAGCTCTCATGGCCCCACCCACTTCCCTGTGCAGAGTTCTCAGGAGCAGGTACTAAGGCTTTAAACATTCACCTGTGATACCAATCCGCGTTGGAGAGTTTTAGATCTGCATACAGTTTTTCTGAGTATGTAGACTCTTTTCAGGGTCCTGGAATTTGAAAACCAAAGCTGGCTATGAATTATTAAGGCGAATCAATTAAAGTAAACAAAGATGAGAAATCTAAGAACGTATTTCAATGAAAATGAAATTTTAAAAAGCCAGTTTCTAAGTGTGAGGTATAAAAAGAAGTTGCAAACCAATCTGCCTTGGGCCCACCCCTCCCTGTAGCCTTTCGAAGAAATGTTGCTTCTGACAAATGGACGAAGGCTGGGAATGTAGCTCAGGGACAGAGCACCTGCCCAGCACAGGTGAGACCCCAGCTCCCACCCTCTGCCTGCCCAAACAGACAAATTTTAAAACCTGATTACATCCCACCTGAAAAAGAAAACCCAAACTTTCCTTCAGAAATCCATAAAAACAGTAACAAAAAAGCGCAAGGACCCGCGTTCGATCCCAGGTACCAAAACAAAAATCAGTAACAAAGTTTAAGGTCCCCAAATATTATTTGGTCAGTGAAAATTCTTATCTCATAATTAAGATACATAAATAATACATCAATAATAGAGTCCTTTATCAAGTAAAGAAACACTTTTAAGTCTTTCTTTTTCTGCTTTTTAAAAATTAAAGATAATCTTCCAAAGGATACAAAGCAATCTCTGGGAGATAAATACTGTGTAAATTTCTTGAATAGCCTTTTATTCTGGCGCATGCATGCCCAGTGACTGGAACAAAATCCCAGCCACATCTCCTTGCTGCTCTTTTTAAGCCAGATTGATTTCAGGAAAGCAGAGCTCAGCCTCAGAGGTTAAATTAACACTACTTTATTGGCTTGAAAAAGGGGGTGACTTAAAAACAAACAAAAATAATTTTTTGGTGCTCACTTCAGCAGCACATATATTAAAAAGTTTTTAAATCCCCAGAAAAAAATGACTTAACTGATACCCTGTAGAATTCTAGATAAATTCAAAAAATGGAAGCATTGTCCATTTTAATTTCTCTCTTTTTTTTTTTTTTTTGGTACGGGGGATTGAACTTGGGACCTTGTGCTTGCGAGGCGGGCGTCGGAACCACTGAACTGAATCCCCAGGCGTTTACCCCCTTTAACAGAGCTGGAGGTACAATTGAACCGATGTCTTTCATGTGCCACTTTGAAATACTTATTCTGCTTTGTCCAGGAAGGCTCTGGAGGCCCTTCATTCCCTGGAGGGGCCTCTTCTAGTCCGCACAGGCCCTGAGCACTTGGAGAAGGGATCCTCTGGCACCAGCTGCCCGAGATCTCGGCCACACGGCCACCCTCCGAAGCCAGTGTTCCTAGAGGGACAGGCCGGGGCATTCCACAGGCGCTCTTGCCCTGCAAGCTGAGTGAAAGATAAATCCTAAAACAACAGAAGCTGGGCAGCTAAGGACTAGTTGATCTGATTCTGAGAGCAAGATTTGCCCCGGAGAAAACCGTAATAATCAGCTTGCAGGGGACTGACAATGGTATATATCGATATGCAGGGCCAGATCCAAGGTTAGCGGCACACTAAGGCCTTCAAGGATCCTAACGCCGGCCAGGAGCCCTGCGGAGGAAGGCTGTACTGGGCCAGTGTCCCTGGCTGGGCATGCTGCCTTTTGTCTGACAACCACTCACCAGAGGTGTGGTTGACTCTGCAGGGCTGGTACAGTCCACCTTGCTGCCCTCGGGCATCCGTCCCCTCGGGGGCCGCCCTCTAGCTCTAGGTTGCTGGTCCCTGTGTACTCTTGGTGCCCTCACAGCCTCAAGGGCCTGACTGAAAGGGGTCTCGAGCCCCCTTTGGGTGCCCCTTGCCCAATTATACCACTCACGCACCGAGAGGTCCGGCAGGAGATCTTTATTGTAGGGAGGCGAGCAGGAGGCAGGAAGGCAGGCAGGCAGAGAGAGAGAGAGAAAGAGGTGAGAGAGAGAGAGAGAGAGAGAGAGAGAGAGAGAGAGAGAGAGAGAAAGAGAATTGTCATGGAAGATTCCTGGGTTCAGGATGGCTTTGCATTCTCAGAACCTAGAACCTTAGGAAAGAACTTTTTTAAATTTTTGCTTTGCTTTAGGTAAAAAGGTTGCATTCCTTTTTGGATGTAATTAACTTAGGATTCATTGTAGACAAGGAAGTGACGGCCAAGAGATACTCTGTAACTGGTGTCTTTATCATTTAGTGAAAATGAATTAAGGAAATCAGAATTGTAGGAGACGCTGTACCAGGAGAATGCAGCCTGTGAGGCGGTGTCACAGCATGCTTTAACATGATTGATTCCCTAACAATGTGTAAGACTTAAACGTCTTACTTCCACTCCATGAGCGTGAACAGCCGAAAGGGCCTCCACGATGCTGGGTCCTATAGCCCATTGATGGCTCTGGAGGCAAGACCCAGGGCCTTACTTCTGAAAGCTGTGAACAGCCAAAAAGGCCTCCACAATGCAGGGCCCTAACACCCAGCGAGGCTCCGGGAGCTCAACAGAGAAAGGAGAAACCCAGGAGGGAACACACCAGGCTAGACGGTAAATAGACCTTTATTAGTCTGGCCAGACGGCGCTCCCGGAGCCAGGTGGCTCAGAGAGGCTACTGCTCAGGGGTTGAGGTACTTTTTATAAGGTTTTTCTAAACAAAGAGTCAGGGAATTCACAGAACAAGACTGCAAACACATTGCTTATCTTATGCAGGAAATGTTCTAGGGTCACCTTTTGTCAAACCATTTGTCCCTGGGCCCCGCTGTTAGCCAAGGTAGCAATTAGCATATGAAGAAGCACAGTCTGGCCGATTAGCATGGAGTCACTTTAGCTTATTCAAGTCTTACACTGTGTCAGAACCTAAGGAGAGCTCTCCACTGAGAGAAAAGCCATGTGGGAGGAGAAGGGACGATCTGTCATGCTTTTTGGTTTTGGAGCATAAAAGTGAATCACTTTGGGGCCAGGGATTTGCTTCAGTGGTTCCACCGCCGCCTTGCAAGCGCAAGGACCCACATTCGATCCGGCTACCCCCCAAAAAAGTGTATCACCTCGTTAGACTTTTATATATGAAATAGACGAGAAGGAAAAGTTTGACTTTGCCCTTTTAAAAACAGCCAGATTGAACTGGACTTCCCACCGGAAGCCTAGATCACATTTGTGGGTGGACCCCGTGCCTGTGGGCCTGGAAGTGGCAGGTCGGACCCTTTCCCACTCGAACCTCCCTGGTGTTGGTGTGGCCTGGGGCCCTGAAACTGGATCTCCAATAACTGGAACTCACTATGTAGCCCAGGCTGGTCTCAAACTCACAGTGATCCTCCTGCCTCAGCCTCCTGAGTGCTGGGATTACAGGCATGCGCCACCACGCCCAGCCCCTGTAAAAATATTCTTGCAAATTAGGAGAATTTATATATTTTGTCTTAGAATCATTGTATTGCGTTTTTATAAGATCGGTTTACCATATATTTAAATTTAACAGGTAATACTATATTATTTTAAGAAAATAGCTTACATTTAAAATAGTTCACAAGTTATTCACAAAGTATTATACCAAAGTTAGAGTTTGGAGGTTTACTTCAGAATTTTCTTATTTAATTCCCAAATTTATCCTAATGGGATAGACCTCTCTCTCAGATAATTGGTTTTTAAAGTGGACAGTAACTATTTATTCACGATTTAAGATTGGATTCTAAGCAGCAACCCCATTTGTGATGAGATTCAACACATTAAAGATCATTTTGACCTGCATTATTTGTTGATAGAAAAAACATCATGAAGCCTTTTTGCCTGAGCATATTTTACATTGCCAAAGAGCTTTCCTTAAAAGTCCTCGAGCCAGGCATGGTGGTGCACGCCTGTAATCCCAGCATTTGGGAGGCTGAGGCAGGAGGATCACTGTGAGTTTGAGACCAGCCTGGGATACATAGTGAGTTCCAGGTCAGTCTCAACTACATAGTGAGACCCTGTCTCAAAAAACCAAAAAAAAAAAAAGCCCTAGATGTCAGCCCAACCACTAAACCAACATTTGTAAGAAAGAAGTGTATTTGTTTTACACACATAAATGTAGGCATGTGTTTTACACACACAAATGAAAAAAGAATCTCCCAGTGACAGCATGTTCACAGGCTTCATGAAAATGGTAAGAAAGGTGGGGCCACCCGAGAATTAGCAGGGCTTTGTGTATTTAACCCCCAAAATTAGCCCATGACCCGCCAGTTTGGAATTCCACTTTCCAGAAAAAACAAGCTGTGAAATGTACAGAGAGCAGGCCAAAAGTTCCACTTTTCTTTTTCTTTTCTTTTGGTACCGGGGATTGAACTCAGGTTCTTGCGCTTGAGCTTGCGAGGCAGGTGTCGGAACCACTCAGCTAAATCCCCGGCCCAGTCCTGCTTTTCTTTTCTCGCTCAGTGCCGAAGGCCACCGATGCCAAGGGACCCTGCGCCGGAGGGCCTCTCGCGTGACACTCCTCACAGCACAGGATGGAGCTCTTTCAACTTCACCCTTTTCTGTCCCCTTAAACAAGCGTTCCCTTCACCACTGTGCAGCATCCCGAGGAAGGACTAGAAGTCTGTGGCCGGGTGTCGCGTGTTTTAAACTGCGCTCCTCTGCCAGAGGTCACCGGAGAAGCCCTGGTGTCAGCTGGGGAGGCACCAAGGTGCTAAGTCGAGGAGTCCTGGGCGGCAGGGAGGATGATGCAAGCGTGGGGGCTGCAAAATTCCGCTTGAACTCAGACTTTATGCGGATGTGGGCAGCACCACTGAGCAGGCGCCAACGCGAGTGTCAGTCGCTCGGCCGGGCAGCTCATGGCGCGACCCTCGGGCGCTCGCCAGTATGCGAGCCCGGAGGACACAGCGACCTGAAGCCGCGCGGAGAACCGTCTGTGAGCACAGCCCTGCCGCGGCCGCTCTGCTGGCTTTGTCTCAAATGCCGCGGGGCTGAGGGAGGCAACTGTCTGGAGCCGCTTCTGGCTGGCAGGACGCCGGGTGGCACCCACCGGAGATGTTTTCTGTGGTGTGGGAGGTCTGCGGCCACACCCCACGCGCAGCCGCCGTTCTTGAGCTGGGCCCAGAGCCTTCGCCTCACAGCGAGGGAGGCTCGGCTCCAAAAGCCCCAACTCACCTTCAAGCGCACTCATTTATAAGCCTGCATATCAAGAGGTATGGATTCGTCTGAACTCTTTCAGGAAAAAAAAAAAAATGTGAAGCTGCGAAGCAGCACTTTGCAATGTCTCTGTTTCGTCCCGGTTCTGTTCAGTTCTCTTGCCCGGCCGTGCGCCTGACCTCGGCCCTCCCCAAGAGTGAGAATGCAAGCAGGCTGGGAGCAGACACCCACCTCGTCTTCGAGCGACTGGCACCTCAGCAGAAGTGGCACAAGTCTGTGTTGTCCGCTGAGTGTTATCTTTGTCAGTTTCAACTAAGTCCCTTTGGCTTGGCGCGGTGGGAACCGTTCACACCGGCTGGGGTTTGGAGCATGAAAACCTTGAAGGCGTGGCACTGGGTCTGAATCTTCAAGGCTGAGTCAGAGTTCGCTAGGTGGAGGAGCACGGTGATAAGAACAAAGAGGGACAAAGCAAACACCAAACCTCAGGAAGTGGATTCGTTTTCCATGGTTGCATCAGCACACCCGTGGCTGGCTCATCTGTAAAGAAAGGTTTGTCCGCGCACCAATCACACAAGGAATGTAGACATTGTGTACTGCGAATGTGGACTAATAAAAAAGAAATAAAGAATGAGTCACTTAATCTACTGATCTTTCAATACAGCAGCATTGCTTTTAACGACGGGCAAGAATGTTAGGAGCCGGAATATTTTACTTTCTTCCTACAAAGTCAGGCAGCAAGAAAACCCCAAACAGAAAGCCTTGTTCTTTGTGGATGCTGGTCAACTTTTTAGCTTTTTGATTGAAGTATTGTACAGACACAAACAGTGCTGCTCTGTAGAGATCTACAGCTTTCACTTTTGTGTCAACCACACACACCCGCTTTCTAGTACCCAAATCAGGAAACCAAATATCACAAACCCCCAAGACACGGCCTTCAGGCACCCACTCTACCCAGGACACCAAATCCCGGCTTTGCCCAACATTAGCTAATTGTATTCATTTACTTTAAGTAAAAGCTAGCATTATACTATGTATGTTTTAGGAATTGGCTTTTTTCATGCACATGTACATGGGATTCATTTATATTTTCGTGACTAGTCCATATTTTTCATGTAAATTCTGTAGAAGATGGGAAAGCACTTCAGCAAGGAGTTTATTGTCCAGTGCATGCATTTGTTTAAAACTAATGTAATGTGCTGCCGTTGCCCTCGGGGCCCAGTTACGGAAGTGATTTGAGTGTGTTTAATGAAGTTATATACACTTCAGCCTACCTCATTTTGTTTCCATTGTCTTACAGGTATAAAAACCAGGTTCCAATAAACGTCCAGGCAAACCCTGGAAAGTACATCATTGAGAGTCGATACGGAATGCACACTTTGGAGATCACCGCGTAAGAGCGCGTCAGTGTGTGTGTGTGTGTGTGTGTGTGTGTGTGTGTCGCAGCTCACGGCCACTCACACCCTCTCCTGCTCCCAGGGCAGCCTGGTCACCATGAGGGACAGCGGTGTACACGTCTGCTCTTGGTGTCCACCTAGGAGTGATGCTCGTCTAACCCTCACCATGCCTACACTGCCTCCCAACGCGGTCATACATGTGTTTTTAATCTATATTATTTAAGCATTTTTCTTAGGCATTAATAAGAAAATAAGTCACTTAAGCAGGCATTTCTGTTCAGTTACCCTTGCAGAGTTGCAAATCAGCATCGTCATTACATCCTCCTGCTTTTGATCAACAAAGGCTGGGGGACAAGCGGTGGCATTGCACGTGGGCTGAGCTTGGAGATAATGTTCTTTCCTTCAGCTCACCGAACAGGGAAATACTATCCACTTTGTCAGTCTGTGTGTTCGAGGCAGGCATGGACATTGGAATATTTTAGGATAAAACAAACTCTAAAGCAATATTTGAAAATAGAACCCACATCAAAATTTCCAAGCACAAAGCCAGGCATGGTGGATTACACACCTGTAATCCAGCACTCGGCAGGCTCGGGCAGGAGGATCTCTGCAAATTCAAGTCCAGCCTGGGCTACATAGTGAATTCAAGGCCAGCCTGAGCTGCATAGTGAAACCTTGTCTCAAAAAACAAAAACAAAACAAAAAGCCAGGCATGGCAACAAATGCTTATAATCCCAGCACTCAGGAGGCAGAAGGATTGTCATTACTTTGAGGCCATCCTGGGCTACAGAGTGAGTTCAAGGCCAGTCTGAACTACTTGGCAAGACCTTGTCTCAAAAAATAAAAATAAAAACAAAAACCCCAAGCCCTCAAAGCTTTATCATGTCTGCCAAGATGGGTTTGAAACCCAAACCTGGTTATGTGATGAAAACAATAACCCACCTCCCACTATGTTCAGTTCAGATAAAATCACAGTGCCCCAAAATGCCAACTCGAAGTTCACATCATCCCATTCTCAAGGGAGTTATAGCCACCCGCCCGAGTCAGAGGAGCTGGTCCAGGTGACACGGGGCTTCACACAGAGCCCTGGGGCCCTGCGAAGTTCGCCTGGTGAACGCAGACCTGAACTCTCATGGCCTTGGCAAGTGAGATTTCTGCCAGGGCGGCGGTGAGCAGTGGCCGCTTCCAAAATTAAATATGAGAAAGGCGACTGCAGTTGCTGTCCTGGGGTCCTAGGGATGTCTTTCAAGGGTCGGGAAGAAACAAATTCATACAAATGAAACCCGAGCCTGAGAGACAGTGGAGAACGCGAAGACCTGGTGTGACAGGACGCAGAACAGCCTGCTTTGAAATCCTACCCTGTTCGTCTGTGCGCGTGTTCTGTGCCTGAGTCCGCTGGGTCTGGATTGTGTCTCTCAGGGGAAGTGGCCCTTGTCTTATGCTTTGGGCGGAAACCCCAAGCACAGCCTGAATAAGGTTAGCGGGTAAATAAGTCACTTTTGCTCTGAAGGCCACACGCTGGCCCCTGGTGTGCGGTGTGCTGTGTGAGCGGTGTTCTGGACGGGACAGTCAGGCCGAGAAGGGTCGGCCGCTGAGGACACTCATTTCCGCGTGTCCTTCCAGGTGTGACTTCGAAGACACAGCTCAGTACCGGGCCTCCGCCATGAACGTCAAAGGGGAGCTCTCGGCCTACGCGTCAGTTGTGGTAAAGAGTAGGTTTGCCGGGTTCATTTTGTTCAAAGTGGTTTTGAAAAATTTCTTCCCATTGCTCAAGAATCCATCAGTCCGTCACAAAGCCCTTCCGTATGTCTGTTTCCTCTTTAGGGTACAAGGGGGAGCTTGATGAGCTGCGCTTCCGGGCCGGGGCTGCCTCCAGGCCCCTGAGCTGTGAGTCCCACCTGGATTTGCTGAGGGGCGGCTTGTGTCCTTGTGGGAGACGCGGGCTGAGAAGCTGTGCTACCCTGCTGAAATACGCCGTCCTAACACATGCTTGGGTGGTTATGCTATGGATCAGCCGTGCTTTTGTTCTTTTGTTCTTGGGTTCATCGCTTTGAGTTTTATGAAAGCCAAGGTGTGATGGGCTAAAATAGCAGATGCTTTTTTTTTTTAAGCCTCGCTGGATCCAAAAGAGAAAGCTCGTTCTCCACGCCTGGGCCGAGGGTCTGGCCTGGTGACCCTTCCTTGGTCCTCTGAATGTATCCCATTCCTCCTGTTGCCACGCTGTCACCCATGTCCGTCCCTCTCCTGCCCTTCGCCTCCAGACTTGGCCAGACTTGAGTGCAGTCATTGCTAACTGCAAGCAGAGGGCTGCATCTGTCCCTGCAGTCAGCTGCGAGCTACCAAGCATCTGCTCGGTGACAGGCGTGGGCATGGAACAGGCCGCCTGCCCACTTCCCCGACAAAGTTCCCGCTCTCGGCTTTGTTCTAGTAGTGAACGTGCATGGATCCATTGTTCCAAACGTCGTATGAAGGCATTTTTACACGTGTTGACTCATTTAGGGCTAGTGGCTTGTAAAGCTTTTATCTGAATTTTTATCCGTGCTATGCAGATGAGGAAGCAGTTTGGCGATTAAATATCAGGATGAGACCCCCCCCACATTGGTGGTATGGGGTCCCGGGGCCTGGTCTTGCAAATTCTAAATCATGGTTTTAAGCAGGAGCTGGCAGACATTCTTTGCGAGGAACTGGACTGAATGTCTTAGGTTCTGCAGCTGCCTGGTTCCCAGCGAGACCTCCCTGTGCATCCTGAAGCCTGAATTTCCAGTGAATGTCCCAAAGCTGCCTTTCTCTTTTGCTTCTTTTTAGCCATTGGAAAAGCTAAAAACCATGCTTGCTGGTACGGAAGGGAGGCAGCCCAGATTTGGCCCACAGATTTCCCTGTCCCTGCCCTAACCCACTTGTCCCTGGACGTAGAGAGCATGGGATGAAGGGACACGGGCTGATGGAGGGAGGGTATTTTCACCTGGCTGCTAAAGCTGGCTTCCCCTTGAACCCCAAAGCACCCTCCACGATGCAGCCCAGTCTCTGAGAGGAAAGGACCTAGAAGTCAGCGCCTGCTGTGGTGTCTCTGCAGAGCCTCCTTGTGCTGCACCTGCTCCCCCAGGTGGCCCCGGAGCAGCCCGGCCTCCCTCCGGCTGGCGTCTCTCAGTCTCTGGGAGGATGCGGCGGGACAGCATCCTCGGAAACAGGCAGAGGGGAGAGAGGCTTCGGAGGGGGCTCTCCCAGCGCCAGTTAGCAGCTGCCTGGGAACACAGTGCAGGGCCGTACAGCGCGCTGGCTGAGAGCAAGGGCTCCGCACGCAGCCACGGTGTAAGTCAGGCGCCGGGGCCTGGACGGCGGCTCAGCGCGCTGGCCTGAGTGTCCTCTTCCATAAGAGCCGGCAGGGTGATCGCCGTGCTTAGCGAGTGCACCGCTGTGAAATCCACGGCACAGGGCCGGGCGAAGGCGAACTAAATAAATTCCATCTTGCATTTTCAAGACACTCGTACAAGGCCTCAGGAAAAGAGACTAAATGTAAGAGAAGGGTCTGAGTTTGGGGTTAGGGTTAGGATTTGAATCTGAATCCTGCCCACGCTGCCTGTGAGTCTTGGTGTTGCTGTCAGAACTTCCGTGTCCCCTCGGAAGCGGGGAAAGACTGCATCTGTGCCGCCTCTCGAGAACAGGGACACCTCACGTGTTTAGGGCCTGGCCTCTGAGAACCTCATCATGGGTGACAGGCATTTCTCTCCTGACCCCCTTTCCTTTGAAAAAGGAGAAAAGAAAACCTAGGAAAGTCAACCATACAAGCGTTTAATCTATAGCTAAGGTGTTTCTCAGAATAATTCTTTCAAACTTACAATATTTTAAACTTCTCCATTTGCTCTCATTTGTTGTTTTTTTACAAATTTTGAAAACAAAGTCCTTCTCGTCCCGAAAGACTCTGTAACAGTAGTTGATATGATTGTTTTGTCTTAAGAGTATAAACAGTGGACCTTAAGTTCATTCCAAATCTAAATTAAAAGATAAGTATATTTAAGAGGGGGGGGTGCCTGGGATTTAGCTCAGGTTCGGTGGCCTGCCTCGCAAGCGCAAGGACCCAAGTTCAATCCCTGGTACCAGGAAAAAAAAAAAAAAAAAAAAAAAAAAAAAAAAAAAAAAGACAGGTATATTCAGCTGAACAAATCCAGGCTAAATGTGGTATTAATTTGCATTTTAGACATTCAATGAAACCCTTTAAATTCTATTTATTACAGTAATAAACACAGGCAATTAGATTATATATATGATCAATGAAGCAAGATTTCCTACACAAATGAGACATATATCTGTTCTCAACAGTGCTTATGTAGAACTTTATTTTTGGCCAGATGAACCATTTGTTCAGTTCTCTGTCACAACTGCTTTCTGCCTGTGCTATTTAAAGTGCTTGTGACTCTTTGATGAGAAAAAAATAAATCATGGGTGTTTGCTTTTGTTGTAACCAGTTGCTGTGACCCCTTACGGTTACGCGTCCAAGTTTGAGATCCACTTTGATGACAAGTTCGACGTGTCCTTTGGGAGAGAGGGAGAGACAATGAGTCTGGGCTGTCGCGTGGTCATCACCCCCGAAATCAAGCATTTCCAGCCAGAAATCCAGTGGTTCAGGAACGGTGAGTCTCTGTCCTGAATTCTGGTGTGGGTTCTCACTCGTAGAAGTGTGGACAGAGGGCCGAGCTGTGTATTTGTCAGGGTTAGTAGAATCTGGGAGTCAGAAGGCACAACTTGCTGTGTGTCCAACAAACAAACATTTACATACACATCAAAGTAGCAACACTTTAATGATGTGTTTATGGAGGTGAGATTTTCTTAGTGCCAAATAAATAGAATTACCCTCAAAATGAATATTCACTTTGTAAGTTGATTCTGTTAAAGTCCTTTACCCCATAGACTTATTTATACCATAAAAATGTATGAAACTTTAAAAATATATAAATATGTGAAACGATAAATCTTGATATTATTAATTACCAGCAAAGTAAACGAAGAGGAGAGTCAGACCTTAGTAGTTCTGTTGTAATGTGTCCAAGGCTCTATACAATTTTGAAATGTATAGCTTCGGTTGTAAAGATGACATACAACAAAAGAAAAATCTTATCAACTTTGTGTCCTTAAGCCGCAACAGGCAGTAGGCACATTCTGAAGGCAGAATATACTTACTATAAATTTCAAGTTACTTTTTGGACATGTGAATACAGTCCAGAAAGGGACCTGAGCTACATTAGTGCTCAGCTACCACCTTGAAATTCGCCATCATTGTGTCCTGGAGCTTGTGTTTTATCTGGAAGTTCCGTGGGCCTGCAGGCTCTGGGCTGGGGTGCAGCGGGGCAGGAGGCAGCACGCTCACCCAGCAGCAGCGGGCCTGTGGGTGCACTCCAGCCCCTGGGCTGTCAGGGTATCAGGGCTCAAGGTAACCACTGAGATCAGGACCTGGCCTCCACCGAAACCGGCCACCGCAGGGCCCGGCAGCAACTCTGGACCCTGTGTGGCTGCAGCATGGGGCCACCCGTCCACCCAAGCTCATCTCACGTCCCTCATCTCCAAGGGATCTGCACAGCAAGGGGTCCCCAGCCCTGGGACAGGGACTTTGTCAATTAAATGTCACACAAAAGCACGTGCAGAAATTGCGAACCGAGAACAAGAGGAGCTAAACTAGCAGTTTAGAATCTCTGGTTTTGAGGCCTGGAAACAGAAACTGCATTTTCAAAAGTGTAAGATTTGATGAAAAGAACACAGTTTTTGATTTGACACCTTGGATGAACCAATCGTGAACAAGGAGGACAGTGTTAAAGTTAATGTCCATGGGGCGTAGTGGCGTACACCTACAATCCCAGCACTTGGGAGGCTGAGGAAGGAAGTTCAAGGTGAGTTTCAGGCCAGCCTGGGCTACATAGTGAGGTCAAGGCCAGCCTGAACTGCATAGCAAGGCCCTGTCTCAAAAATAAATGAATAAATAAATAAAAATTAATATGTACTTGTAATTGAAGATACAGTGATAGAATGCATAAACAAATATTTGAATTATGTACAAGTCACAAATCAGTTTTGGTTTCTAGTGCGACCTCTGTTAATTAGAGGACATGTAAAAAACACTGAAATGAAACTGTGTGAATTTACGTTTATAATTTACACTCATGATTCTACTTTGGAGTTAAATCTTTTTTAAAAAAATTGCTCCTCCATAATTATCAGTTGTAGAGTATTTAAAATTTAGACTTTAAAATAGAAAGTTAACTCAGTGTTGTCATAATCTATTGTAATTCTCTCTCTCTCTCTCTCTTTTTTTTTTCATACTGGGGATCAAACTCTGGTCCTTGTGCTTGTGAGGCAGGCAACAGAACCACTGAGCTAAATCCCTGGCTGTGATACTCTTAACAGCTTTGATAGTGCTTATATCACCAGAAAGAGCCTTCTCTAAATAAAAAATTATCAATATTAGGGCTGGGGATTAGCTCAGTGGTGCCGCTGCCTGCCTCACAACAGCAAGGTCACGAGTTTGATCCCTGGCACCAAAAAAAAAAAAAATTATCAATATTTATATTGGTAAGCTTACATTTATAAGATGGCTAACATTACTTTTGATTATATTGATTTAAAATAAAGTTGTTTGAAATATAAATTTTCTTTTTTTTTAATTGAGTTTATTGGTACAATCTAGGTATACAATACAGTTACATTCATCACTGGGATTCTGTACCTTTACATAATAGGTCTTGATTCTCATCTTTCCCCTTGTCCCTGCCCTCCCTTCACCCCCTCCTCCCCTCCCCATTTACAAACACTTTATTTCCATTTTTTCAGTTTCTCATATTTTTTCCTCTCCCTTATTACCTTTCCCCCACCCT